TCTGGAGGGAGACCTTGTTCAGAAAAACATCTGGAGCAAGCAGGACTGTCAAGAGAAGTAATGAAAGACTAATACTGGCAGGCTTGTCACCCAAGAATTCCAAACAGAAAGACCAGTGGTTAAATTGGGCTCTGGCTCAAATGGGGAACCAGCAAAGACCCCTGAGTTATAATGAGATATGAGAATAGTCTGGAAGGTGCAGAACAACCTGAATGGCGCTGTTCTGGATTAAGATGAAGGGACAGAAAGAGGACTTGTGGACATCTAACATGTGACTATAACAGCAATGTAGGTGAGAAGCTACCAAAGCATGAACAAATAAAGCTATAGTTCTCCCTCCCCCACCTCTTACAAATAATAACCAGATGAAAACTAGGAACCCTCACTGTAAATTCAATTAAAGGGCACAAAGTCAGCTGATCACAACTCAAGACCTTCCCTTGTTCTAGTAGTGCTATAATAGGTGCCCTAGGTGCAGCTATGTACTGAACTTCAGTATTCTTCCTTGTCTGCCTAATTACCATTTTCATTAACAGCAATAATAAAATATCAATTCACTCATTAATAATGGGATTGAATTATTCAAGGCTTGAAAACATTTATTTCCATTCAAATTAATTGTTCTTTCCACTGGTGTTTTAAAATCTGTTTCTTAATGAGAACCTAGCTCTAATTGACTTCTGTTACATCACTGTTACCAGACAAGACATTAATTGCCTTGCTTTGTTCATGAAGCTTATGGGGTGGAGGTGGGCAAATGAAATATTTGTGTTCTATTTGGGGCATTTCTATATTTTTTTGCCTTATTTGCATCATGTATGTAGCAAGTTGAATAGTGGGTAGCAGGCTAACTTCATTTTCTACAAAGCGTGTGCCAGTGAAAATGAGTATGTGTGTTTTGGTTGCAAGGAGGAATGAGGTTATTCTATCAGTTGAGTGCATGCAAGTATAGAAAGGATGTTGCAATAATAATAGTATTACATTGAGATGTCGCCTTTTCTTAAGAATTGATGGTAGTGTACATGGCAAATCTCCCCTATTTTATCATAACAGCAGCCCTGCATGGTATGTTATGCTGTTAATACCACTTTATAATGCCTTGGTAAGACCACATTTGAAATATTGCATCCAGTTTTGGTCACCACAATATAAAAAAGATATTGAGACTCTAGAAAGAATGCAAAGAAGAGCAACAAAGATGATTAGGGGACTAAAGGCTAAAACATATGAAGAACAGCAGCAGGAATTGGGTATACCTAGTTTAATGAAAAGAAGAACTAAGGGTGCCACAATAGTAATATCTAAGGGGCTGCCACAAAAAAGAGGGGATCAACCTATTCTCCAAAGCACCTGAAGGCAGGACAAGAACCAATGGATGGAAACTAATCAAGGAGAGAAGCAACCTGGAATTAAAGACATTAGAACAATTAATCAGTGGAACAACTTGCCTCCAGAAGTTGTGGGTGCTCCAACATGGGAGGTTTTTAAGAAGAGACTGGACAACCATTTGTTTGCAATAGCAATAAGACTTATATACTACTTGGGACTTCCGGTGGATTTTGCGTGCGTGATGGCGGCTACTTTGTAGCCGTCCTCCTGGGTAAGTGTAAGAACCGCTATGAACAGCAGATATCAGCTGTTCAGCGGTTCAAAATCCCCCTCCCGGGCCAAGGGGGGGGGTAGAGAGTGTCTGAATAGTGGTAGAGCCTCTTTCGCACCCCCCAAGTTTTTTTTTTGGGGGGGTGAAAGGAGTGCTCCCACGGAGTTCAGACTTGTCTCCGCTTCCCAGCTGTTTTTGTCCTCAGGGACAAAACGAGCCGCCGCAAACACATCCGTGCTTAAAGAGAACTGGTGAGTTTTTTTTTTTTAAATGGACAGAGCTGAGTAGAGGATTTAGTTTTTGCTTTCTTTGACTTATTTGGATTTTAAGTTTTAAGATGTGTTTCTATTTTTATTCTCTCTTTTTATTTTTTTTCTTTGTTGAAAGGGAAAGTAAAATGGCGATCGGCAAACTCCTCGGTGTTTTTTTTTTCTGGAAGTTAGAATGCTGACCGGCAGGCTTTTTTGTGTTTTTCTTTCTTTCCTTTCCCTTTCTCTTTTTATTTCCTTATGATTGGAATGGTTGTTTTTGGTATCTCTAAGTATTTTTTTTGGAACGGACTTTTTTTATTTAATTATTTTTTTTTCCCCTTCTCCCTTTTTTTTCCTTTGAACTCCCCCTTTTTTTTTTATTGTAATGACCCTTTTTTGAAGGACTTTTTTTCTGTTTAATTTTTTGTAATTTTTAAGAAGGAGTAAAACTTTTTTTTAATTCTTTTTCTCTTCCTTTTTTTCCCTTTTTTCTTTTTATTATAATGACCTTCTTTGGAGGGAGTTATATTTTTGAAGGAATTTTTATAATTGCTTAAGAAGGACTAAAGGTTTTTCTTTAAGATGGCTCCAAAGCGTCCAGGGATTTTTACAGTTTCTAAATCAACAGTTTCACCCTCTTCTGGGGGTCAGCTAATAACTATGAAGGACTTGCAAGACATGATGGGAGATGTTATAATTCAAATTAGGGCAGAAATGAAAAAGATTTTAGAGGAAAACAAGAAGATCTTGAGACAAGATTTTGTTTTGGCTTTAGAAGGTGTTGCTTCTGTTCTTGAAAAGGTGAACTCCCATGTGGAAGAGGTAGCTGAAAAAGTGGACATAATGGAGGGGAAAATTGAAAGTATGGAAAAAGAAATGGAAAATGAGATTCTTCTGCTTCAATATGGACAAATGGAATATGCCTTAAGAATTAGAGGCCTGGGAGAGTCTTTGCAAGGAGATCTGAAGGAGATGGTTGCAAAGGACTTTGCATTGATTTTGAATAAAGAAAAAGAGGGAATACTTAATGAAATTGAAAAATTATTTAGGGTTAATTCTGTGGTGGCAGCACAGAAGAATCTGCCAAGAGATGTGGTAATTTACTTTGGTAAAAGATCTTTACGCAATGAAATTGTGCAAGCCTATTATAAGAAGAGATTTCAAATGGCTTCACAAGATGTTATAATTTTTAAAGAGATCCCATCTAAAATTTTAAGAAGAAGAAAGGAGTTTGCTTTTTTAGCAAATGAACTTAAAAAGAGAAAAATTTCATTCAGATGGGATGTTCCGATTGGAATGGTGGTGAATTACATGGGGACATGTTATAGACTTAATACTGTTTCTCAAGCAAAAGATTTTTATACTTCGGTCCTGGGGGTATGTGCATCGCCATCAATTAAGTTGAAAGCTTTGGAAGAAAAGAATGTAGAATCACAGTTTGAAGAGCCTATATTTATGAAAACTGGAGAATCTTTGTGTGAGAGGCCTCAACAAGTCCAGGTTGAGGAGCAGAAGACAACTTGTGTAGTATATAATACCAAAGAAAAGCAGCAACAGAAGAAGGTTAAGGAAGTTTCATATTTAGTGGTTTCTGAATCTCTGGGAGATGTTAGACCTACAAAGTCTTTGGAGCAATCTTTAAGGTTGGAATTGTTGCCTGAAATGGAAACTGGGAAATCTCAGTCTGAGGGGCATCAACAAGAGAGGAACGGGCAGAGGATAACTTGTACAACTTACAATTGTAAAGATCAATACAAGGAGGAAGTTAAGGAACCCTTATTGGCTTCGGAGTCGATGGGAGATTCAGGAATTTTGGAGCAGTCTCCTAAGGCAGAACTTGCAGCATTTCTTACGAGTTTGATACAAGAATGGATAAGGGAAATGGAAGAATGGAAGAATGGAGAATGGAAAAAACTGGAATGTGAATAATTAATAATACTAATATAATTGAGATTGATAAGGATGTAGTTTTTTACGGATGGAATTAGTTATTTGTGAAGATTGAAATGTTTAATGTGTTTATTAACTTTGTTGTTTTAAGTTTTGAACCTTTAATGATAATATTGTTTAAATTTGTGTTTTGAAGGGATTATAATTTGCTTATTTTAGTGAGTGGATTTTAATGTTTTAAATTTTAAAAATTTGTGGTTTTGGAGGGAGTTTATATAGAGTGATGATTGTATTTAGATGTGTTTAGGATTTAAAAGTGTTTTTAGTTTTTAAATATTATTATTAATATTTTTAAGACAAAATAATTTGTTTAATTAAATGTGCTTAGATTTGTTTAGGACTTATAGGTTTTTTAAGTTTTTGTTTTTTGTTTTTTTTTTTTTTTTTTTCTTCTTTTTGGATAGGAGAGAAGATTATGAAGATTGAAGGAAATATGTACTTACTTTAAGTTCTTTTAGAGTATTTAGCTTTAATGGTATAACAAAGATTTGTATGTTTATTTTTTCGTTTTAGGATAAAGAAAGAGGGAGAAATTAGATTTTATATTATAGATATAGATATTCAAAGAAAGTAATTTTTAAATTTGTGTTTTTGGAGGGAGCTTATATAGAATGATGATTGTATTTAAATTTGTTTAGGTTTTAAAAGTGTTTTAAGTTTTTTTTTTTTTTTTTTAATTAAGCCTGTACTCAGCTCTGGGAAGTCCAGGGGAGGGTTTGGGAGGTTGGGAAGGGGGGGGGGGTGAGGTAGGGGGGGGTATGGGAAGGGGATTTGTTTTTGTAAAATGTAAAAATTTTCAATAAAAAAAAAAAAAAAAAGACTTATATACTACTTCACAGTACTTTACAGCCCTCTCTATGTGGTTTACAGAGACAGTGAATTACCCCCAACAATCTGAGTCCTCATTTTACTGACCTTGGAAGGATGGAAGGTTGAGTCAACTTTGAGCTGGTGACAATCAAACTGTTGGCAATCAGCAGAATTAACCTGCAATATTGCATTCTAACCACTATGCCACCACAGCTCTTTCCCAATGGTATAGGCTTTCCTGTTTGAGCAAGGAGTTAGACTAGAAGACCTCCAAAGAGTGTGCGTGTATGTGCATTTCATGGATCCAGTGAGTTTTTGAGATTAAACTAATCTCATGTGTGCAATACTTTCTAATAATGATATTTTAACATGCCTTATAGTTTTATATCTTTATTGTAGGATGCCACTTCTTGTGAGGCAGTTATATAAATTTGATAAATATTTTAGCATGGTACATACATGTTTTGTATATGTAATAGTATTAGTTTTGACTGAATATTACATCAAATGCATATTTTAAATGAAAACCACATTTGTTAACATCTTTGCAATTCTAACTTGGTTTTTTTTCCCCCTAGCTCTCAGCTTTCTAATGCAGAGATGACTGAATGAGAAAGCACCAGGAAAAAAGGGAATAATCGCAATACACATTCAATCACATTGCGTAGCACAGGACTGGACAACTCGTGATGTCTAATTAAATTCAGCTTCTAACCAAGTTAGAACATTCTGCTGCATGCTTAATATATACCTGGTTTTTCTATTTTAGGATAGGCAGTGTAAACAGGGCTGCTGGCAAGTTGTTAAGCCACAGCTGATAACTGTGTTTGGCTCCATGGGTCATGAGTTTTGTGACTCTCAAGCTTGTTCCCCTGATTCAGCACGCTAAAATTTACTTCTAAGTACACAGATATTATGCCTAAGTCAGAACTCATTAAAATTGGATTGTAAGGATATAAGAAACCAGCTAAGATGTTGATAAAATAATGTATTCTTGAGAAGGAAATCTAAGTAGCAGATTAAAAATCAATTTTGAGAAAAGTATCCCAGCCTCAAGGATAAAAACTTTAGAGATAAGGAGTTGTTTCAATGGAGTGGTAGAAAGCATTTTAAAAATCATGAATGCCAATATAGAATGTCCTTGTTTCATTCATTCTGGAGGAATTACCTCCCCTTTTTTGTCTTTAGGATTTTGTTTTTTCTTATTCCACCATGGTTTGCGTTCATCCCTTTTGCCCCTTACTTTAAATGGAAGACATGGGAGCAGGGCAATGCCTGGAGCTGGTGGTTTCTGTCACCAATGGATTCACCACACATGCCACAGTAGAGTTCCATTTCTTCAACACATTCATGGAACTTCACCACATGATTACGAAGTTCCCTCTGCTGACCCTTTGTGCGATAGATCCCTTCACACAGGCAATGAACTTTCAGCAGGCAGAGCTGCATAAAAGAGAAGACAGAGAAAAATAATCACATGAAAAGAATATTACAAAGGAGGCAATCTATGGGCCCAACACATTCCTAGTTCCTGATTACCCAAAATATGGCATCTTTTAAGCTTTTGAAATGTGATGTTCTTTTCCATCCCTTCTGCTTCTTTTTATTTTACTTAGCAGAAGCTCACCAACTGTCAGACAGATCCTTCTTTTCTTTGGCCATCTGTTGCCTCCTCTTCCCAAATTGTGCTTCTTACCATTCCTATTTGTACTGCTCTATAGCACTTTGGGGGAAAAATGGGTGATTTCACTCTTTGCTTACCATTTTATCTTATACATTCAGCAATCACTTCTTTTTTCATAGTTACATAATTGTATACCCTGCAAAATTCCCCCTTCTGAAGAATTTCACGTGAATAATGCTAGCAATATAGAATGTTTAAGGCTTGGATTTCTCAGTGCAAGAAATTTTGTGTGGCTATCCCTGATACCCCCAAAACCATAGGTTCAAAATGTTTCAGGATCTTTGGGTTAAGATATGGTCTTTTCTAACATCATCTTTCCAAAGCATAATTAAATACCCTACCACTCAGAAAAGTCAGGAGCTACACATATTCCACTTTAGGAGATGCCCCATTACCCCAGAATCAAAATATCTGATGCTAGCTTTACACTCTGCTATGTAACCCCCACAAGAGAGCTATTAGTGACAGAATCTCATCAACAACGTCTAAAGGATTGGAACACAAATATGGGCCATCACTGTTTACCCCTCCCTCATGATATTAATGGGTTATTAATAATTCAACCCCCTTTATGGATTACTGCCTTGTCATGGCGAAGGGGCTTGTGTAACTCAATGAAGCTATAAGCTATGCCGTGCAGGGCCACCCAAGACTGACAGGTCATAGCAGAGAGTTCTGACAAAATGTGATCCACTGGAAAAGGAAATGGCAAACCACTCCAGTATCTTTGCCATGAAAACCCCATGGACAGTACTAAAAGGCAAAAAGATATGACACTCATTGACTATGCTAAAACCTTTGATTGTGTGGATCACAACAAATTGTGGCAAGTTCTTAAAGAGATGGGAATACCAGACCATCTTATTTGTCTCTTGAGAAACCTATATGCGGGTCAAGAAGCAACAGTGAGAACTGGACACGGAACCACTGAAAAGGAGTCCGGCAAGGCTGTATTACTGTCGCCCTACCTATTTAACTTATATGCAGAGCACATCATGAGAAAGGAAGGGCTAGATGAAACAAAAGTTGGAATTAAGATTGCCGGGAGAAATATCAACAACCTAGGATAAGGCAGAAAGTGAAGAGGAACTAAAGAGCCTCTTGATGCGGGTGAAGAAGGAGAGTGCAAAAGTTGGCTTCAAACTCAACATTAAGAAAACCAAAATCATGGCATCCGGCCCTCTCAATTCCTGGCAAATAGATGGGGAAGAAATGGAGGTAGTGACAGATTTTATTTTTCTGGGCTCCAAGATCACCTCAGATGGGACTGCAGCCAAGAAATTAAAAGACGCTTGCTCCTGGGGAGGAAAGCTATGGCAAATCTAGACAGCATACTACAAAGCAGAGACATCACCCTGCCAACAAAAGTGCGTATAGTCCAGGCCATGGTTTTCCCAGTTGCAATGTATGGCTGTGAAAGTTGGACCATAAGAAAGGTTGAGCGCCAAAGAATTGAGGCCTTTGAACTATGGTGCTGGAGAAGACTCCTGCGAGTCCCTTGGACTGCAAGGCGTTCAAACCGGTCAGTCCTAGAAGAGATCAACCCCGACTGCTCTTTAGAAGGCCAGATCCTGAAGTTGAAACTCAAATACTTTGGCCACTTAATGAGAAGGAAGGACTCACTGGAGAAGGGCCTAATGCTGGGAAAGATTGAGGGCAATAGAAGAAGGGGACGACAGAGAATGAGATTTATTTATTTATTTATTAATAAAATTTATATGCCGCCCAATCCCTAGGGACTCAGGACGGCATACAAAATTAAAACAATAAATATAACAATAAAACAGTAAAATAAGTGCATTCATACAGCATGTCCCAATCGTATCCCGCCCCCCCCCCCCGGGGACATCAACTCCAGGCCTGCCGGAACAGGAGAGTTTTAATGGCTTTCTTAAAGGCCGGCAAGGTGGGAGTAGTTCGAATCTCGGGGGGAAGTTGATTCCACCAGGTCGGAGCCACCACAGAAAAGGCCCTTCCCCGAGGGCCCGCCAGCCGACATTGTCTGGCCAACGGGACCTGAAGGAGGCCCAATCTATGGGACCTCACCAGTCTCTGGGAACTATGCGGCAGTATGCGGTCCTGTAAATAACCTGGTCCTAAGCCATGAAGGGCTTTAAAGGTGATAACCAACACCTTGAATTGCGTCCGGAGACCCACAGGAAGCCAGTGCAGCTCGCGGAGGATAGGTGACATGTAGGTGTACCTTGGTGCACCCACAATCGCTCTCACGGCTGCATTCTGAACCAACTGCAGCCTCCGAACGCTCTTCAAGGGTAGCCCCATGTAGAGCGCATTACAGTAATCCAGTCTTGAGGTGACAAGGGCATGAGTGACCGTGAGTAGAGCCTCCTGGTCCAAATAAGGCCACAACTGGTGCACCAGGCGAACCTGGGCAAAGGTCCCCCTGGCCACAGCTGATAGATGTTGTTCCAAATTTAGCTGTGAGTCCAGGAGGACACCCAAGTTGCGTGCCTGCACTGAGGGAGGTAAATTTACCTCCCCCCCGGACTAATGATGGACCATCAGGATGACCCTTGGGGGGCAAGACCCAGAACCACTCGGTCTTGTCAGGGTTGAGTCTAAGCCTGTTCACCCCCATCCAGACCCTCACATCTTCCAGGCACCGGCACATCACGTTGACTGCTTCACTGAAAGGGCACGGGTTGGAGATATACAATTGGGTATCATCCGCATACTGATGATACCTCGCCCCGTGTCGCCGAATGATCTCACCCAGCGGTTTCATGTAGATGTTAAAAAGGAGGGGGGACAGGACCGAGCCCTGAGGTACCCCATAATCGAGGTGCCTAGGGGTCGATCTCTGTCCGCCCGCCAACACCGACTGCGACCTGTCAGAGAGGTAGGAGGAGAACCACCGCAATACGGTGCCGCCCACCCCCACCTCTCTGAAACGATGCAGAAGGATACCATGGTCGATGGTATCGAAAGCCGCTGAGAAGTCAAGAAGCACCAAGACAGAGGAATGACCCCTATCCCGGGCTCGCCAGAGGTCATCAGTATGATCAAAGCAGTCTCAGTGCTGTAGCCGGGCCTGAAACCAGATTGAAAAGGGTCCAGATAATTCGTTTTGCATAAGTTCGCCTCTTGCACCAGTTGCGACCCTACCTGGACCGGGAGGCTCTCCTTACAGTCACTCACGCCCTTGTCACCTCACGTTTGGACTACTGCAACGCGCTCTACATGGGGCTACCCTTGAAAAGTATTCGGAGACTACAGTTGGTCCAGAATGCAGCCGCGCGAGTGATAGTGGGTGCTCCTTGATACACCCACGTTACACCTATCCTCCGTGAGCTGCACTGGTTGCCTATTGGTCTCCGGGTCCAATTCAAGGTGTTGGTCATTACCTTTAAAGCCCTATATGGCTCAGGGCCAGGCTATTTGCGAGATCGCCTACTACCTCATAGTTCCCTACGTCCGGTTAGATCCCACAGGCTGGGCCTCCTTCAGGCCCCGTCGGCCAAGCAGTGCCCTTTGGCGTGGCCGCGGAGGAGGGCCTTCTCTGTGATGGCGCCCACGCTTTGGAATCAGCTCCCCCTGGAGATTAGGACCGCTCCCACCCTGTTGGTCTTCCGTAAGCTACTTAAGACCTGGATTTTCCGGCAGGCCTGGGGTTTATAAAACCTTACCCCTGGATGATTGTTTTTGTATTGTTGTTTTGTTATGTTTTATGTGTCTTTTATTGTTAGCCGCCCAGAGTCCTTCGGGAGTGGGGCGGCTTATAAATTTTAAAAATAAAATAAATAATAAATAATAATAATAATAAATCCAAGGATCGCAAGAGTTGGGACGCCACCACCTTCTCTACAACCTTCCCCACAAAGGGGAGGTTGGAGACAGGACGAAAGTTCTTCAAAACAGCTAGGTCCAGGGAAGGCTTCTTGAGGAGGGGCCTCACCACCGCTTCCTTCAAAGGTTGAGGGGAGATGGCTGGATGGAGTCACTGAAGCAGTAGGTGTGAACTTAAATGGACTCCAGAAGATGGTAGAGGACAGGAAGACCTGGAGGAACGTTGTCCATGGGGTCGCGATGGGTCGGACACGACTTCGCAATTAACAACAACAACAACAATGATTCAACATAATATTTGGGCATGTAAGTACATTTTCAAAACCTTGGAGGTCTGTTATCAGGCAGAATTATGACATACATATATTCGCACACATTACAAAGAACATGACTAGAGTAAAAAAAAATGCAGATGAGACAACTTACTTTGTTTCCTAGTCCCTCTGCCAGCTCATGAGCCCTCTCGATATTTTCTAATGCCTATAGAAAGCAGAACATATATGTATTTGAGTCAACTCCATAAGACTTAGGGCAGCTTACAACGTTAAAAGATAATACAACAATAAAACAGTATGAATAGAAATCATGTGCATCCCGGAAAAAAAACCCAGACACATGAAATCTAGGGCATCATCAGGGCAGGAGCCATGCAGGTCTAAGGAGGGATGCTATTTAAGAGTAAAGTGCTACAACAAAAAAGGTATGCTTCCTGGGTCCTGATATACGACATTGTTTAACCAAAGGAATTTGGATTGTCAGTCCAATTGTATAGGACAAGCAAAAACTATAGTCCATCAAGTAATCAGGCCCCATGCCATGAAGTATTTATAGGTGAGGGGAGTGAGGTGCCAAAGTATGCAAGATGATGTCTTGAAATACGTGGTGGTTCTGAAGACCTTGTTGCTTGAATCTATGATAAGTACCTGAGGGTGCCAAGATAGGGAAAACTGCATTAACCTAATCCCTGGAAGTCTAGATAATATTAGGAAACATTTACTCCCTTTATTTTATAATAGCTACATACTATGCATATTCAAAACTATTTGTGTATATACTCTATAAAAATACATACACATATATACATATACACATACACACATACACACGTACACAAACACACACAAATCAGTTTGCTGCAGTAATTAAAGACACTGGACTAAGAGCAGGAAGACAGCAAGTTTTCATTGTCTCACAGGAATAGAGGCCAGATAGATCATTTAGTGTCAGTCACTCTCAGCCCTAGACCTGAGAGTCAGCCCTAGGAATTTGAAAAACACCCTGGAAGAAAAAATGTCAAACTACTTCCACAATGTTTCCCAAGAAAACTGCCAATGTTTATGAAATTGCCAAGAGTCGAGATTTCATGGTACCCAAATTATACATAACTGTTTATATTTATATATATTCTATCAGTAGACTCTGGGCAGTATACAAACCATAGTTAATTAACCTAATAAAGGTTCATAATGTTCTTCACCCATATAAAAACAACTTAGCCATAAAGCTAGCTGGGTAGCCCACAGGTTCTAATTCTGGGCCTAAACCCTGCTTATAACCAATGTTTTTTAGTGTCTTCCGCAATGTCATAAGGAAAACAGCATATATACTTCTGGGGGCAGCATATCTTATGGAGAAACAATTTTCAGTTGATCATTTCTAGATGCTCAACTACAACAAGTGAATCCTAAGGTAATCCATGATGAATCCCAGCTACTCCATTTATTTAACTGCTTAGAAATAACTGTCACACACCTAGTGTATTCATCTTGCAGATCAAAAGGTACATTAGATAAACAGCCTAAAATACATGCTGAATACTCATTTCCTCAGTATGGATGTTACTATGTGGATCGAAAGACTGTCCATAGGAAAAAACATCATGCATTGTTAGAGCCTATTTTGTTGGTTCATAACAATGCAACTGTATCTAATCAGTTTCTTATACAGCCTATTACTGACCTTGTCGAGGTCCTTTTGAATCAGCCAGCACTTGGCTACACCAAGCAGCACCTGAACTTGTCCCAGACGGTTTCCAATCTCAGTCATGATGCTCATGGAGGAATCATAGCGGGGAAAAGCTGCCTGGGTTGTAAGAAAAGGTTGTCAGTCGCTGTCCACTACTGCCCTCAGACAGCCTGTCATAGGAGAGGGTCATACCTGTACATCTTCACGGCTGCGATGGATATCAGCAAAGCAAAGCAGGCACTGTGCTTGCAAAGGACGATCTCCATGCTGAAGGGCAATCTTCATTGACTCCTAGCAAGATAAGCTTTCAGAATCACAATTTGAACTTTTATCACATATTAAGTTCTAAATTCTGACTATTCTAAGAAACGGGTGCCTGAGTGAAGGACAAGGGGTGTCTTGTCCTGTTTGCAACCCACATTAAAGACAGCATCCCTTCTTTCAACAAAATAAATGACTGAAGGAAGAGGTAGTTTATGCAGTTTGGATCTTCCTCAAACAGTCAAAAATACTTTGCCATTGCTTTGGAGTTTTATTGGGTTCCTTTGCAATTCAAAAGCCACTTTCTTTCACCAAAGGAAAGAATCTGTGTTCTTATAAAAATAGTGGTGTGTACTGATACTTATAAAGATGGCTTTCAACTTTTTTGCCCCACACCGGGGCTTCATAACCAAAAACAACTTGAATTGGCAGTTGCTGCAAGATGGCTGTAGTATGGCCAACAAAACACACCAAGAACTAATCAGTTTGCTGCAATAGTCTAAACAAAAAAAGTTATTAAAGTATGACTCAGAGTGGTCAAATCTGCCTTCCTCAGAAAGTGATGCAACTGACATACCCTCCCAAACTGGATAGCCCTTTAATTTTACCCAGCAGACTCCCCCCACACACACACACTCCAAGAAGCCATGCTTGTACCTCACAGCATTCCATAGCATCTGGCAAGCGCCCCAGCTTCCGATAGGCTACAGCCATGTAGAACTGGCTCATGGCTCGGTACTTCAAACTCCAGCCTTTTCCATAATCATTCACCAGCTCTGCTGCCTTGCATGGGAAAAACAGAGCTTTTTCATGGTCCTTGAAAAGAGGAGTGAGATTGAGAAGAAAGAAAAAGAAAGGCTGCAGAAAAGCTATGATTGTTTGAAGTTATGAAATCTTTTAAGCTGTTTTGATTGATTCTGATTTTTCTATGGTAAACTGTGGGATGTAAATAAGGTTTATGACATAATAAGGTTTATGATAATTTGTAACCTAGATTGATTGATTTAAAAATTATGGTGAAAATAGCCATGGTTTCAACCCGCTTTTACAAGAAGCACCCAGTATGGAATTTGGAATGGTGAGCTCTTTGGAATATACTGTAAGATTACCACATTAATTATATTTTTCTGGTTAAAAAAAATGAATTGGTGATAGTACTGTAAACACGTGCATTATACATGTACACATTGTGAAATACATAATGAGAGTTTAATATGGCAAGTTTCCACTAAGTAGTAAAACTATAGTCTATATATCCGAAGTCTTTGTTAAGATAAGGCTTGTCCTCGCACTTCATTTGAGTTCACAGTGAGAAGATTGAAAAATGATTATTGTAAGTAAACTTGTCCAAATTTACACCAAAATAAGCAATGTTAAAACTGATAGTATGTATTTTCCTAGAAATAGCAAAATGCTTTAACTTTCATGTTGAAAACATTATCAAAATAAATATTACTGTTCAAGAGCTTTACATACTTCAATATATAATAGATATTAAGTTATACATTTGATAATCTTTTCTCACAAATGAATCTATAAGCATTAACATAGAATACTTTGCATGTGATAGCAGATAACATATTGTGTGATTCCACCTTAAGTTATATTATGAAAATGATTGTGTGATTAAATCCTTGAAATTAGCAGAAAGGCTTTTTCCTTTCTTTCATTTATTGTTAGACTGTTGAAAAATATTACTGGTACATACTGTGATTTCTCAGTGTTTTTTTTGTTTCATGATATCCAAAAATAAATAGACTTTAATAAAATAGAATGATAAAATTAGATGGCCAAAATGTATAAAAAAGACTATTTAAGTTTTTCGATTAGCTAATCAACATTTTTCTGACAAATAAATAATACCCATGTCCACAAATGGCAGTTTGTGATACAACAACTTTTTCTGGAAGATTTTCACCATCTAAATATATGAGTTGAAACAATAGTTTCACTGAGGCAGGATATTACAAAGGGTTGTATCTAGGACCTTGTGTGAGCACTGAATAGCCAAAATTCCACAATATTACAAAACCATGTAATATTTTGGTATGTTTTCCCTAATGTCTCAAGATTTTAGCTCATAATTCTAAAAAGTTGAGAAACTAAGCAAATTTGCAAGATTTCGGGCCTCACCTAAACAAAACATTATTTTTTATTTAATGTTGACATCCCATAGATACCATTTTAGAGGAGTCATGTATGTGGCATATACTTGAGCTCTGATTTATGTGATGGTCCTGACAAGCTTCAGATCACGAAGTTAGGGTTCACAGAAAACAGGTGGAAACCACTGCACTCAATCTACCATCTGTACAATCTTTCACATAGTTGGAAAAGTTGCATTTTTTTAAACTTCTGATCTACATTCTCTTCCATTGGCATTTCTGCAATACTCACTTTGAGGTGTGTGTAGAAATTTCCTAGACTGCAACAGACGCGACACTCCAGCATCTTGTCATCATTGTTGTGTGCGTACCGTAGAGCTTTCTCAAAACACTCCAGAGCTTTTTGGAAGACACTGAGGCCAAAGTAGGCATTGCCCATGCTGAGGTTGACTTGGCCATTCAGTTGCAGGCCCAGTGTTGTACCTCGCATGTTCAGGCAAGTCTTACAATAGGAGATAGTTTTGGGGAATTCACAGAGCTTCTCGTTGCTCCGTGCCAAATTCAGGTAGCTCTCAGTAAGGTAGTCAGGATCCTCCAGTTCTCGGGCAGTGTCAATCTGCATGACTGCAAACTTTTAGCAAAAGAACACAATACTTAAGAATCAACACATCTAATCCTAAACTTCAGTCATAATGAATTTGTGTAATTTTATTGATGAATTTTTTAACAAGATGCAGGCATTAAAAAAGAAACAAAATAACAAAGAATAGTGAATAAGTAAAAGAAAATAGAAAAAGAAATATTATAAAGAAGTGGCTTCTGATCTTTTGGGCAGCAGTTATAAATACATTTATATTTTACACTTTTTTCTCTAAGGTTACTTCATAATTTCCTTCTTTCCCTAAGCTATCCATAAACCTGTAAGACATAAGTTCAGTTTTTTTCAGCAAAAGGTTCAAAGGGGGTTTCCAGTCATTGATAAATGTAATTATTAATCTCTCTCTAATCAAACTGGCTAATTGTGACACTTTTACCAACCATAATGAATTCACATTAATCATATCAAGACTGGAGTTGACAATTTGGACCTACTCTGTGGCAGACAAGGCTCAGGGCTACAAAACTACCTTGGTTTTTGCTATAAAGTTAAGCTCCACCAAATAGTGCCATGTGCAAAATGGTGGCTCAGGAAAGCAGTCAAATTCTAAAGAATATGGTATCCTATTTGCACATGCTTTTGATAAAAAAACCATCTAATTTTTAATTTAAAAAATCCATAGAAAAAAAGGAAAAGGATATGGTCTTTTTTTTTACTTAAATGAAGTTTAGAAATGATAAAAAGAAAACGGTGTAAGCAAGCTAAACAACTATAATGCAATCTATTACATTAAATAACTTGTTATTATTTCCTATTGATGTGTTTTTACAGAGTCTTGTGCAAAGCCAATCCTGGTGATTTTGTTTCTCTGCACATGATCAAGAAAGAGATTAAATGCATCTGGACTGCAGATGCCTGATATTCATGCTAGACAAAACTACTTCCACAGCATCCGGATATTGAGGAGTCTCTCTTTTGGTATAAACAATAAAATGCTTTTAAAACCAGTCTTCAGTTAACTTCTGGCAGAAAAATGAAATGCTGTCCTGAGTGGAGAAGGTTTAGAAGAAGCTCCTTCCTCTAGACATCTCTAACCCTGATGAACAGTTTGTTTCGAAGACAAAGGGGAAATCATATGAAAAGAGGTCTGTTGTACAGTATTTCTGAAGTACTATTTAACTCTTATTCTCATAGCACAGAAGAAAATGCAATTTCTTCTCTTTCCTAATATCCTTTACCGATTAAAGTAAAGCCTTATATATTTGCATACTCAAACCATATTTTATTTTCTTTCCTACAGGCCTTCTAATTCCATATCATCTCCTTTCATATCATAGTCAGTTTCTCGCTGATCTGTTCTTGCCTTAGCACTCGGGGTGATTTACAGTTAGTGCCGCTATCTTGTATGTATGTTTGTATGTATGTATGTGTTTCTGAATTAGTGCTGTTTTGTGGCAACTGCCTGAACAAGCCCTTTAACCCCAAAGATAAAATGTATTTTGTAAACCAATTACTGAACATTAGGGTTGTGCAAAGCATTTGAAACAGGCATTTTTGCATATGAGTTAGTACTAGTAGGATACCTGTGTGCAGAGTGTTGAACGAGCCATATTCTTTGGAATGTGCTTTGCGAAGGGCCTCTTTCAAACGCTTCCCATAGCACTACTAAGCAATTGTCTGTGATGAAATCACAACTGTCTGCCAGAATGGACTAAAGAGCTAATTCAGCACAGAAAGTACTGTTATACCAGAATTGTGCAGATATGGACTGAAATACTCAACTGGCAATGGAGTTCACAGAACAAATTTCACTTGAACACTTTGGAGGAAATAAGGATAAAAATAAATTATAATAATCAGAAAATCCGTTTAAGATCCCAATAGATTTTTCTCCTTCAATCCCATTTAACCTGTTTACTTTAATATGTTACCAATTTAAATCTTATAAAAGCTGTATAGATATTCTGAATATATACAGTCCCCTTCAATGCACCTGAAACAATATCTACTTGCATATTATATTTTTAAGAGTGCCATCCATGGACTTTATCCTAACAGTTTTGAGAGGAGTCAGATCATCATATCAGGTTCAAACTACTGCGAAGATGGAACTTCGGAACTTACATTTTATGAACATGCAGATATACTGACTTCAACATTAAATCTTTTTATTCTTCTCCCCCAGCTTTTTGTAACATCTTATTAACAAAGAGAGTGGAGGATTTTAAACACTTGCCTGAAAGTTAGCTTGATAATGCAAATTTGCAATCCAGGATGCTCCTCAAAATACACATGGATGGATGAACTCTTTTCTTATAAAATAATGTGGTTTTTTTTTTGTCATCCAATCAGCATATGGTATTCACCGTTCAAACAATACTCTATTCTTTTGTTCTATGCATGATCTCTCACGGCTAGTTTAAAAAAATCTTCCCATAAATTGAAAAATTAACATTAGAAATCTCTAATCAGCCCCTCCAAAAATAGTTGTACATCTCTCCTTTGCTTACTGTTTATAGATCCCATTTGAATGTATATGTAAATCCTAAAACCCTGTTCTACAACCTAGTTGTTACTACATCTGCAAGAAATACTGTTCCTAAATGTTTTCGTCAAGGGGCCCATTAACACAAATGTTCCTTAACTGAAAGCCCACGGGCTTATCAGTCTCGATCCCTTAATAAGCTTCTTAAAACCATTTACAACCCATATTGTACAGTATACATATAGTAGCCTATATAACTTTTAACCAAATATGGGGATGTTTCTAAACTGCAACTACAGATGGTCCTTGATTTACGACCACAACTGAGCCCAAACTGAGACATTGGTTAAGTGAATTTTGCCCCATTTTACAACCTTTCTTCCACAGTTGTTAACTGAAAGACTGCAGTTGCCGAGTCAGTAACACGATTGTTAAGTGAATCTGGCTTTCCCATTGACTTTGCTTGTCAGAAGGTTGCAAAAGGTGATCACAGGACCTTGGGACACAGCAACGGTCCTCAATATGAGTTGGTTGCCAAGCATCTCAACTTTGATCACGTGACCATTGGGGATGCCGCAATGGTTGTGTGAAAAAGTCTAAGTTATTTTTTCAATGCTGTTGTAACTTTAAATGGTCACTAAATGAATTGTTATAAGCTGAGGACTACCAGTAAAACACCAATGGGGGTTCAGGGTTCTAGCTCAGTACTACAATACTGAGATTTTCCACAGGTTTCTTTTTCCTGTTTTCCAGAAAATCTAAAGTTGCATCTGCAAGAGATTAGGAAAATCCTAATTCGCATCTCATTTCAGCCATGGCTCTCTGGATTGCCTCATAAAAACCCTTCTCACCCCTCAAGCAGAAATAATAATTAAAAAGAAAGGACTTTTGGAATCAAGGCCATGTATAATGAAAATGATGAAAGATTTCCACAGTATTTCCCCAAAAGTTAGATCTTAAACTTAAGATCTTCCAAAGCAACATTTAAAAGAAAACAATGTCTCAGTGAATTTGTTTATTTATTAGATGTATATGCTGCCCATCTCACTCTGAAAAGCAATCTGGGCAGCTTCTAGGCGGACAACCATCACAGTTTGACAGTAGTGATTTGAACAGAAAAAAAAAAAGAGAGAACGTTCCATTCAAATAAATAATACTGAAAAAAATCTAGTGATGTGCCATTTGGAAACATACCTTCTCTAGCCATCACAGTACAAACTTTGTGTGCACGTGTGTTTGTGTACACACATGTGCACATACACATATTGTTTAACCTACAGTTATCTTATACAGCTGATAATTCTGCGAAACAAAGGTGCGCCACAGCATCCCGCGTCTCAGCTTTTTTGCAAAACCACACAACCCTCAGGTAGGCATGCAAATGGCTAACATTGTTAACACCCATCATTACTTAATTCTGTAGATAAGAAACATGTAAATTGCTCATTAGGTCTAGGACTGCAGGTGGAAATGCAGAATGGCAATTTTCAAAGGTAAAAATTTGTCAGTATCTGCAATTTTAACCAGTGCTACACTTGCTGTTTGAGTGTGGCCGAACTGTAATCTGGAGCCCTACTTTTCTATCCACCACCCTGTCTGTAACATAGTAAGAGAAAAAGACACGCAGCCAATCAGAATGTTTTACCTTTAACATATCTTTGTACCTGCCCATCTCCGAGTGAGCAGTGATGAGGCAACCGAGGACTCGAAACCTGCCAGCTGGATCTGTGCTCTTTTCCAAAACCCGCAGCCAGACTTGAAGGGCCTTTTCTGTCTGACTGGACTGATACAGCTGGAGTCCTTTTTCTATCTGCTGCTTTGTCTGGTCCTGTCCCATTGCCTTCGTGCTCTGGAGCTGCATATACCAACTTGTCGGAAGAGCAGCAGACCTGTCAGAGTGGCTGTATAGATGGGCTAAAAGAAACGGTGACAGTGAAGTTGGTGCTCAAACAAGAGGATGGACTGCTTGGTGCCAAAGCAGGGGGCCCACCAGGATCTCAGATGGCTCAGCCTGGAGGAATGTCCATCGGAGATGGGAAGAAAGGCCCACCCAAATGTTGAAGCAACCACCCTGATCGTCTAGAATAGCATCCTCGGTGCTGCTATCCTATCAGAGCTTTTCTACAACCCAAGTCACAAAGAAAGTGGAAGACAAGAAAAGCACAGCCAGGAAAGAAGGAAAGAGCCTAAGTGGCTGGAGTGAAATTCAATCGGAATGGCCCCTCCCGAGCCCCTCCCTTCCATTGGGGACAGCTGTGCCCGCCAATCCTTGTCATGTGATCTCACAGGAATGTCAGACTTGGTAACCCCCAAGGTCAGAAAGCAAGCCTGAGCAACCAATCTCCTTCCCTCTACGCTGCCTTTATATAAATACATCAGAGAGGGCAAATGGAGCCTTTCTTCAACGAGTTGTTGTACAGTGGCAAACGCAAAATGAAGGAAGTTGGAGCTGAACTTTCAGAGCTTGAAAACGAAAAAGCTTTTCCTCAATCAATTAACAGAAAAAACATTATTCACTAGAATTATTTCTAGTGGGATGACCACTAGATAGAGCTAGAAACAAGCCTTTTACGTACAGTATTTTGTTTCAGTTTTGACAACTGGATTTTTTTTAAAAAGGAATGCTATATGACTGATAAAAATGCAAAAAGGAACAGTCAAAACAACCAGGAGATTGTTCTATCTACCTTACAAGGGAAGTTGCAACCACTGGGAGATTTTTTAGCTAAGAAACTACTTTTGGGAGACCATGACAGAGATAAATCAAGAACGGTTTGAGAGAGAGAGAGAAGAAAGCAGGCTGTTTCTTGGCAACCAAGGATTGGGGGAAGAAAGAGGAACAGCTGAAGAACTGCTGCTTGTCAATTTTCATTATTCTAGCTAAGTATTTCCGCTGTTCTCTGTGTCAAGTCACCTGCCAGTGACTTGACAGTCATCCTAAAACCCCATCCTAGCATGGTGTATCTTACTCTATAATGTGAAAGAAAAAAAAAGTATGCCATTTCCTTAAGACAGCATTTATTCCAATGGCTGAACTGCAATCAGCTTTTTCTGAAAATGTGAGCCCAAAGAACATTATTTTCAGAATGCAAGAGGCTGTGAGAAGCTAGATAATTTATGGATACTTCATTGCTATTTCTGTTTTCTTGGGGGAACAGAATGTGCAGAAATGAACATAGGAATATATGAAACATGGAAGCGTAAAGGAAAAAATGAAAAGGGAACTAAGCAGAAATAAAAAACATTGACACTTGGAGTGGAAGGGATTAGAATGAAACAAAGTAATATTCTTACAGTATCTTTGAATCTACCAGCAGATCTACAAGCCACTGTGACTTGTTTGCTAGGCATTTTCTGGATAAAATTGCTCATGTAAATTGGATACATCACGGGCAGAAAACAATGAAGTGACTGAGGCAATCTCTTGTGAAGTCACCTGGCACTCTTTTGAACCTGTTGAAGCCAAGGAAATGGACAGCTTTACATTGTGTTAGCTCAGCCTCCTTGGGAGTTTATTGAAGATACCAGAGAAAAGAACAGGCAACTGCATTTTAGGAGTAGTAAATGCTTAGAAAAAGGGGAGTCATACCAACAACCTGTAAGGAAGTTGTGATGCACTTCTTCCTGAAATCATCAGTTGAACTAGCAGTGTTGGACAATGTTTAATAATATATATCACGGGTGTAAAACTTGATTGCGTCACGTGACGTATCATGAAATACGTTTTTTTACCTTTGCGGAGCCGGGGTGAGCGTGGCCTGCGCATGACACATCCAGCCTGCAGGCCACCAGTTTGACACCCCTGATATATATATATTTGCTTTTAAAACAAAATGGTGCTATTTCTTCCTAACAAAATGGGGCCTTATCAGGAATGCTGGAGGAACGAGAGGTTAAGTACCTGACCACCCGTCTAAGATACCGCAGGGTTTGTCTCTTTTCCAGTTAACATTATAGGAAACAACTATGAAAGGTCATCTATTGGCTTGGGGTGAAGCATAATTGAACCATTTTTTGAGGAATGGGATCCTTCTCTGCCAGATTTACAAAGTGTAGGTTGTTAAGACACAATGTCTGTCAGGCACAAGCAGCTAGGTCCACACATGTAGAGTTCAAGCTAACTACTTTATTACATTCTGCCTATTATACAGGAATCTTCCCAGATTGCTTGCCTTCTCTTGGGAACTGATAGATAAAGTTCTACGGAGCCTGGGAGGAGGGTAGTGGTGTCAGTTCTGGTTCTTTTGTGGCTCTGCAACAATTCAAGGCTAACCCCCAGCGTAAGTCCTTCCTGCTTGGGCATTTCTCAACATCTACAATATATTTATGCAGTTGTTGTAATTTTAACTTTATTGGATTTTATGCTGAAATGCTGCTTTATGTGTTTCTCTATTTTTATAGTGAGTCACTCAGAGTCTGTATCTGGGGCAGCATGGAAATAATGTAAATACACGTATCATTTTATTGGATATCACCCTTCCAAATTTGTTAAAGCAGTCCCAGTACATTGGAAAGACTGATACTGGGAGACAGAAGGTTTACTTGACAGTAATATAGAATTCCCAATTGAGTCAGACTGAAAATCGGATTTATGGTATCTAATTTATGCACAAATGTTAGTGATAATGCTGTATTTTCAACTTTTTATTAACTTTTTCTGCAGTGTATTGGAAGAGCAGCTTACCTGCAGGAATCAAGTTAACATCACCTGAATGTGATTTAAAAAATTCTGCATATCAAGCTAGTTTATATGTCAGCTGGCAATCCAAGTTCCTTTTCGTTTCAAACATCAGTAGCTGTAGAGGTGCTAAGACAGTTAATGACACCTATGTAAGACAATACTCTAAAACTGCCACTGCAATGTTTTATTTTTGAGACTAGAGAGAAAAAAATTTCTCTTGGAATTTCTTATTATTACCTTGCATTATATCAAACATGTCAAACTCGTGATGTCACGTGACATCGCACAACGTATCGGAGCCTTTTCACCATTGCCGGCAATGACGTGCCCGGCCTGTGGACCGACAGTTTGACAACCCTGCATTATACAGCTCAACCCTCAGAGCCAATTAGAAATGTGAAATTTGCCTACTTTAAACATTTAATTCTAATATAATCTACTTAGAAATGCTTTTAATTACTCTAGGCATACAGCATGAGATTACATCCCAGATTAGAAATAATCTATTTTCAATACTTCTCTGTATTAAAAAGGTAGTATTCCATAAAAATTATACTGTAACCAACTTCATTTAATTTGGAATAGAATTAAAAACCAGAAATTCCTTCACCTGCAGTTCAATTCACTGTTATCTCATTTTGTTGCAAGTGAGGACCAGGCTAGAGTTAGTATGTGATAAAATGCCATATGATTTTTTTTTTACACATGATGGCAATAGTAGCTAATAAAAACTTTGGGAAGAGATGGAATTTAGTAGCTATGTAAATACTTATAAAATGTATGAGATCCGATTCCAAATCAGATACATCCCTGTCTACATTCTTAATGCCAATTGAACCACATGGAAAATTATTCATCTCAGAATATGATAAATACTTATAGTGGTGCTGGGATTTCAATGGAATCAAATTTTTAATTCTTAAAAATTGTTTATTAGAATTCAAGCATCTAGATCAGGCTGGAACTAAAAACTATAAAAGTACATTTAATAACCATATTATGTTTTAAGGGATCTGTGTTCCTATGCTGGCTTTGTCTGAGCATCACCTTTTATTCAAAAATACAGCATGAAATCTTGAACTGTGTCTTTGATTGACTGAAGTTGTATGGTTTATCTAAAGATTGATTAGTTTTTTTAAACATTTAGTTGGGGGAAGATAAGAAACCAATAGCACTCCAGAGGCTTTTCTTACACAGTTCTTAACCTCATTCAACATTGGTTTCACTTTAGTATGAACTTATAAGAACTATGTTTGTAATAATCTTTTATCAATGTCAAATTGATTGTTCAAGTGTTTCCTCAGTTTCCACTCACGCTTACAAATGATTTCAAAATAACTTTTCAACCTTCTGCTGTTTAATGTACCACAAAACAGGTGATGCAGAATTTTGTTATGATCCAACAGATGGCTGTTGACTGATGACTAAATACTCACCCGATACATTTGAAATTAAAAAATTTAAAACGTTTCCAAACTCATTTATAGGGATTATTCTAGCAGGAAAAAAAATTGCAGAAATGGTTCATGCACACTCATAAAAAGTTATTGTAAGAACAAATATGACACCTTTCTCATTTTAACTTGATCCAAGGAGGAATCCAAACAATTATTATTTTGGTAATTATAAGGTGATAGGATTTAGTGCTTATTAGAAGATAAAAGTTAAAAAAAAAAAATTCCAGTTAGCTGACTTTTAAATTAATTTCTGCTTAAATGTCATTATCTTATCTTGTAGGATTTTGCTTCCTTTATTTGGTAAAAAGTAAAAACAATTTTAAGGAACTATATTCTGCAATATAGGCCTTAAGATTTATTTGCTTGTAGTACAAATAATTATAATCTATATTCAATATAAATACCTATAATAAAGTTATAATAGGAAGGGCACTTAAAAGACGCAAATATAGTTGCAGGAATTAGGAGAAAGAATCTATCAAATTACTTATATTATTTTTATGCTGTAAAAAATATGGCAGCTTACTCAAGGTGATTTAAACAAGATAAACTTACCAGAAAAAAACTGAATGGAGAAGCACTTTTCTATAATAAATTATTCCTCATGTGTATATTTATATTTCATATACTAGCTACCAGAAAAATCTTTGATGAAACTGATCTGGGCCCAGCCAATTTACATCAAGTGTAGAAAGAAAGTAAACCTTAAAGTAAAATCCTCAGAAAAATAATTTAAATTAAGAGAGGGGGGGGGGGAAAGGTGAGCTTTGTGTTTGGGGAAGCAGCATGCCAGTGACAGAAAAAATGATGTATATATTCCTCATACATTTAGACTAAGCAACCCTTTTTTCAAATACCCGGATACCAATTTGCCTGTTCTGTATAAGTAAATACAAGGATGACACAAAATTTCTTCTCAAACAGTTTAATAGCAAATAAACAAAGGGAGATACCACACTTGGCATATACAAAATGACTTCTTGTCTGTGTGTCTGTGCAATTAAAACAGCTTTAAGTTCCCCAGTGGGACAAAAAGAAACCACACACAAAAGGAAGAAAATTCCTTAATACATACTCGCTCGTTCCAAACTTGTAACAAAACTTTCATTTTTAAATCCACTACACAAACTCCGTGATCAGAAAAGCAACATGTGCTTCTTTTTTAACCACTAAAGTAAAATCCATAATTTTCTACAGAGTACAACACAATTTCACACAAAAAAGACATTTTGTTTTGCAAATCAAACAAGAAAAAGGAACAGTTCAAACAGGGTAAAGAAAAGCATTGCTACAACAGAATCACGACTTTGAGTTGATTAAATCCTGTTAAACTGCAGAACAGATTCTACATTTGGTCATAGTGGCAATTTGTTTTCTTGTCACATTTGTGAATCACTTTACATTGTTTTCTAGTAGAAAAGGCAAAAAACTGTACAAAACCCCTAGTGTTAAATACAATGTTTGTACCAATAAAAAAGCCCACAGGTTTTTTTTTCCAAAATGTAAATTTTCTTTTTTTTAATTATTCACAAAAAGCAGCTAGAAATAAAAGGCAGCTGCTGCTTTACTGTCTCAATTCCATTAAAACCACCACAGAATTATTAAAACAATCAAAGGAAAGAAAGGAAAGGAACATCTAATGTTTGGCATTTTGGTTTTCTCCGGAGATTTTTTTTTACCACAGGATTCTCCAGAGTTTCTCATGAAACAGTATGCACATTATAAAGAAATGTATTGGCAAAATTAATTAATACACTGCAAGGCCTTGACTTCCCCGCCATCAGACACCCCTGTGCATTGTGACTGTGAGCCCAAGGTCAATCATCTCACAGCTGTACCCCAAATAACACAATGATATCCCCTTTCAAGTCACTCTCATCCTTAGAGATGCTGATCACAAGGTTGAGAGAAAAGCAAGTACGGAGAGAGATGACCCATCCAGCAAGAGAGTTGGCAGCTGGTGTTTGCCAACAACAGAGTGAAAGCTTCCTAAGGCCTAGATAGATCTCTTAGATGTTTCCACTCTCCAAATGTTTTGTTTCACATTCCTTCCTCCTGTTAAAATTCCTTCATAGCTTCTCCTCCACCCCGTTGCCTCTTGTGCTTAGGCACCTACCACAGGACTTTTTGCAAGGTGCTGTGAAGTCCTGGACTATATCTCAGCTTCTAAAGCAGATCATATGTGCAGCAAAGCTGAAGCATGTTTCCCAGAGAAGGATAATCTGTCCTGTTTTTCTTCATCAGGCCAGAAAAAAAAAAAGAAAGAAAGAAAGAAGAAAGAAAACTGCACGTCTCCTAACCCAATTAAAGAACAAAACTTTTTTTTTTTAAAAAAATTCTCCACAGAGGAGATTCCCCCAGCTAAGGCCCCTGAGAAAAGGAGCCGGGGTTGGTACCCTGTTCAGGTAACAGCCAACGTGCTGTTATATTGTGCTTGTCACTTGGAGAAAGAGCCAGCAGTTTTGTGCCTAGGCTTACAGATTCCTTCTATGGGATATATACGACATGCTATTTCAAGTGTAAGAACTGGAGAGCAATCAAGCTTCCATTCACTGAGAGTTAGTGGTGTTAAAATTTCACAAAGCAAGTCGCATATTAAACAAGAGGTACAAATTAAGGCTAACCCAAAGGAGCCTGAGCTCCAAAGGATTTCAGAAGCAGTATTACGCAAACATCCCACATCTTTCTGTTAAACTTGTATCCCTGCCGCTGCCACCATGACCATCTGAACAGTGCAATCAAGCCCCTGAGACCTTTCCATAGCTGTGATAATAGAGCAAGGTGCAGATACTGTGTAAAGCAGTCTAAATGCACAGGAGATGTCCTTCCATGACATATGATCACAAGTCTGGCATCCCAAAAAAAGGACAGCTTTGAAACCTAATAAATTGCTCAGTTTTTGCACCAACTATAGAAAACAGAGGTGAAGGGTGTATATATACAGGATTGTGAAGAACACAGCAGGAAACATGCAAAACATTTACAGGGGCATTATTTGAAATTTTAAAAGAAAAAAAAACAAAACAAAAAGAAAAACTCACATTTTGTTGAGGAGATTGTAGTTACAAAAAACTAAGCATGCAAAGGTTTAACAAAATACAACACCAACTTTGATTAAATTCTCACTGCAGACAAAGGCTGATAATCACACAGGAAGGAAAAAGCGGTTAAGTGCCAGGGCAAAAATGCAGCTACAATCAGGAAAAAGTGTAGTTCAAGTGTTTTCTGCTGAAGCTACTCAAGTCAAAGAACGCATGCTCTCTTCTCAAGCATGGCAAGTAGGTTCAGCAAAATGTGACCAGAAGCCTCCTGAAAGCTTTGAGTTGCATCCTTTTACTTTTTCCTTCAAAGGTTTTTGTTGAAACTAAGCACACAGAAAAAACTAAGCCTAGAAAGTGATTGGCTGTATGTTCACAGAAATACAAATACTCCACGAGGTATGCTAGCAAGGCTGCTCTGAAGACA